TGCACTGCACACATCACATTGAAGTCTTCGACGGCCCCAAATTAATGAACCAAATTTAACACGAATATTTTCGTCAATACTCCCTTCATTTCCTTCCCTAGATTTTGCCCAACAGAAACAAAGTCTAGGCATCCGTCACACAGATATCTTACCACAATGGCAACAAAGGCACTGGAAGAAAACGTTGTCGTTTCCCTCTCGTTCGCCGATTACCCGGAAGACGTGCAGCTTTGCATCCTCTCCTTTCTGACGCCGGCTGAGATCTCCGCCTTCGCCTGCACCTCGAAGCGCTTCGTCTCTCTTTGCCGCGACAACCAGCGTCTCTGGTTCTCTATGTGCGACCGCAGGTGGGGATCCAAGACCCTCATCAAGAAATGGGGCAATGGCAAGATCTCCTATAAGCTCCTCTACAAAACGCTACACGAGTGCGAGAATCTCATCGGCTTCTGGCGCCGCAGCGGCGCTGGTGTGGATTCCGGTATTTCGGGTCATCTCGTGTTCTTCGAGTGGGGCCCTTTTTATGTGTCCGGGTCATGGGTTACCCCTATGAAAACGTCTACCTATAAGGTGATCAAGGCTCCATTCCTATGGATGGGGATTAGTTCAGATGGAGAGCCGGTTAACTACCTTGATCTCGAAAGTAGGCTCGAGGTTTCTGAGAATTTGATGGGTTCGGAGGAATCACTGTCGGAATTAGTTCCAGTCAATGTGAATTTCATCGGGAAATGTCATATTGCTATTGAAGAGAATGTGAATTTCTATGTGCACAGTTCGGGTTCCCCACAGAATGCAGCTTTTATGAAGGTTTCAAGTTCAGGGAATCTTAAGGAGGTTTCAAGTACAGGGAATGTGAAGGAAGAGGAGCCCGAGGAGTCCTTTGGCTCCCCAGGAAGCCTGCCTGACCTATCAATGTATGAGATTTATCAGTACTTTGCAAACAAGACGATTTCTTCTGGGAATGGATCATGGAGGAGACAGCGAAGGAGGAAAAAGGAAAGGCAGGGAAGGAGGAAGTGGGGCACGGAGCACTTTGTCAAGGTTGTCAATTGCTCACCCACTCCAGCTAGGCCATTGCAGGGTCTATGGAAGGTTTTGCTCTTATTCTCTTTACTCTTTAGATCTAGTTTTTTTTCAATAAAGCATAATACTTTTTCAATCATGATCAGCAATGCCGGGTGAATTTATTCAATCTTCCTGACTTGGTTTGAAGCCTGTTTGTATCATGAAGCAATAGGAACTGAAAGATTTAATCTTTTTTCAGTATTGCATGATTTAATTGATTGCCTCGCACCTTTTTACTCCGTAATTTTTAATTTTTTGTTATCATAAAATCAGTTTTACCTGAAAGGTTTGGTCTTTATTTATCGTCAATTCGTCACATCATTTTATATGACTCGCCTTAAAGATTTTTGGTATCATGAAGCAATGTGAATTGAAAGTTGTGATCTTTATTTAACATTTGCCCATTGTGGATGACTTTCCATGAAAAATTGTTTTCTCACTGGTCAAAAATTAAAGATGCTTCCTTCACCCCCTTTTTACATTCAATCATCCTTTTTTGGAGCGTCCTGAATAATAGTCCAATTTTTCCTGTCAAGGAAGAATGCTCTGGTCCTAATTGATTCTTTCATTCTAATATAAATTTTAATCACAAAAATCATTTGCTTAAACTCAGTGTACAGGTCTATGGAGAGCCATAATAAGGGAGTAATAGAATACAATGTGCATTTGAATGTTTGATCTTTATTTAGTATTTTGCATGATATAGATGACCTGATATTGAGAATTTAGATAGATATGATGCTATTGGATATCGTCTCGGTAACGTTGAATGTTTTCTGAAGAGTAAAGTGTTTGAGATTGTTCTAGCGCTCACTCATATGTAAATCACATCCTAATTACATCTCTGAATGTTTTCTTATGATTGTAGTAGTGCTCACTCATATGCTCGAGTAGTACCTCTTAGCACATCCTAATTGCATTACTTATTTAATGTGGAAGAGTATAGGGCTAGGAAGAAGGACCTTCATATGGTGTTTATTGACCTTGAGAAGGCGTATGATAGGGTGCCAAGGGAGGTCTTATGGAGGTGCCTTGAGGTGAGAGGAGTGCCCATCGTGTACACTCGCGCGATCAAGGATATGTACGATGGGGCTATGACCAAGGTAAGGACTTCCGGGGGCGTCTCAGATTCCTTCTCGGTAGGGATGGGGTTGCACCAAGGGTCTGCTCTTAGCCCTTTTTTGTTCGCCTTGGTGATGGACGTCCTAACTCAAGGTGTTCAAGACGGGGTCCCATGGTGCATGCTTTTCGCGGATGATATT